TGCTACACATTTTCTCTTTAACACATATCGCATCTTGGTCCACTTTCCTTCCCTTTCCTCTCCCCTCTCATTCTCTCCCATTCCCCATATATCCCTTTTCTATCCTTTCAGTGAACCAACTTTTTGATTCACTGATCCTTTGTATATTATTAATCCCAATTTAATTAATTTTTGCTCTGAGCTTTGCACATTTTTTTCCTGTTAGTTTCAGATTTGGATTGTTCTTGTCTCTATTGAGAGGTACTGCTGTTGACTCACTTCTCTTCATGTGAGCATTTACAGCTACAAGCTGCCCTCTTAGAACTTTCATTTGTGTCTCATTGGTTTAGTATATTGTGTTTCCACTGTTATCTGATTGTAGGAAATTTTTCTTTCCCCATATATTAATTTTTCAAAATGAATTACTTAACCACCATGTGTTTCTGTTGCTTCTTTTGCTATTTCTAACTTCATTATCTTATCGATGGGGGAATTATTTAATACTTTTATATTTAAGTATGCTTTATGGCTTAAGATACGATTTATTTTGGAAAAAAGTTCTGTGTACTGTTGAGAAAAAATGCATATTCCGTTGTTGGATGAGGGAAACACTGTGGATATGGTAAGCTGTGTTGTTCAGGGCTGTGCTTTAACTCTAATGTCTCTTTGTCTGGGCAACCTAGTTGTGAGTGGGATATTGAAGCCCTCTACTCTGACTGTACTGGTACCGGTCCTTTTAGGTCCAGCAACATTGTGTTGCGAAAGTCAGTGCACAGATTTTATAATTGTTCTCTTTTCCTGTACCAGTATGTAGTGGTCCTCTGTGTATGTTCTGATCAGTTTTGGCCTGAAGTCTGCTATGCCTGGAAATAAGGAGGCTACTCCTGTTTTGGGGATCCAGATGAATGAAGTATCATTTTTCACTCTTTCTCTTTATAAAAAATTTTTAATATTTCTTTATTTGGTACAGGGTCTCGCTATGTAGCTTGGACTCATAGTGATCCTCCTGTCCCAGTCTTCTCAGGGCTAGGATTACAGCCATGTGCCACCAGCCATTTTGGTGGCCAGCAGGGTGGCATGGCATGCAGTACTGGGGATTGAACCTGAGTCCTTGTGCTTGCCAGGTAGGCGCTTAGGCTGCTGAGCTATCTCCCCCGACCTTTCTTTCTTTCTTTTCGTCTTTATCTTTTTGAGACAGGGTTTCACTTTGCAGTTCAGGCTGGCCTTGAACTCTCTGTGTACCAAAGGCTGGCCTGGAATGTGCACTGGTACTCCTGCCTCAGCACCCCCAAGTGCTGGGATTACAGGTGTGCGCTGCCACGCCTGGTTTCTTTGGGCTTTTGGGGGCTGATAGGCTCCTATCCACCTAAGTTTCCCCTAAATATGTTCTGTAATGCTGGGTTAGCGGTCATGTAAAGTCTGTGCTCTTCCATCAATTCTACAGGCTAATTTGCAGGCTATAAGAGTTGGGATTAGAAAAAAAAAGTTGGTGAGTGCCTGCCTGGCAAGTGCAACATCCTGAGTTTGATTCCTGGTACCAAATAAAACAAACAGGCTTTTTTTTTTTAAGGTTTGAAAAACTTTGCTTCAAACTCTCCTGGCATTTGAGGTTTGTGCTGAGAACTGTGCAGTTATCCTCACGTGCTTGCTTTTTTTGGAACCAGGGATCAAACTCAGGGCCTCTTGTTTGCCAGGCAGGCACTGTGCTGCTGAGCAACATCCCCAGCCCTGTACTTGCCTTTATAGGTAGGTTACTTGCTGTTTTTCTCTTACAGCTTTTAGTATTCTCTCCTTCTGTTAAATTTCTGGAATTCTGATTATGATGTGCCATGAGGAGGTTCTTCTATGGTCATAGCTATCTGGGGTTTACAAGCCTTTTACACTTGAATATTGAACTGTTTCCCTATACTTGGAAAAATTTTCTTCAACAATTCCAGTGCATAAATCTTTTATAACCTTGAATTATCTTCTAATTTTTCCTTTAATCCTATAAGTTTTAGGAATTTTTTTTATTTGTTCTGTTTTTTTATAATCTAGCAGCTGCTGGCTCCAACTTGCATGGTGTCTTGTCTTTTTTAGGGTGTCCCTAAGACACACTACAACCACTGGTCTCGTTTCTAATGCTGTCCACACAATGGTCAGGCCTGCTACCTGTGCTTTCCATGGGGTTCTTCATATCACCTATCTGTCCTGCTTTCCTCTCATGCTTTCTAATTATTTTTTATGTTTCTCAGTTGTCTACAGCTCCCACTGCTTCAGAGTGTGAGAGATCAGATTTGGGGAGCTAGGAGTTTTGGAGGTATCTTGTTGCCTTGCTTTCTCATTTTTCTATTATTTTTGCACAGTTGGTGGGAAAACTCCGTCACAACTGTGGAGATCTTAGGTTCAATCTCCTGTGATGCGTCCTTAACACTAAGTTTTGGGGTCTATACTACTCTTCAACCTATCAGCATACTTGAAGGTCCTGTACAACCTTCAGCACCACTCAACAAAGGAAAGTAAGCCGAAGTAATGCTGACAACCCAGATACGTATTGGCATACAGTAAAAATCAATTAAAAGCAACTATGCTACCATTTAAACTAGAAATCAGCAAAAGTAGCCTAGTCAAATAAACTTTTTTGGCTGGTTCAGCCCTCCCTAGGGGTTGGGCTGGCATTTGGTGCCGGGGATTGAACCCAAGTCCCTGTGCACTTGCCTAAGCAGGAGCTTTAGACCACTGAGCTATCTCACTGGCCCAGAGTCAAGTAAATTTCTAAAAATTAATAAGGTTCAAGAATAAGAATACAAAACCAAAAAAAGAATAAGAATAAAAATGGAGAGAAGAATGAAGAATGAAAGAAAATAAGTAAAATTTGAAGAAAGGTGGGATAGAAATTCCAATTAAAGAATCAAAGAAAGTTAAACCACCTGGGCAAGTGGTTCTTTCCAGAGCTTTCCAGAGCCCAAAGGTGCCAGATCTGGGGGTGGCAGTGCAAGTAAGCCAGGGCCTTTCTTGTGTCCACACCCACTCCTTACTGCGAATGTGGAGTCCTGCCTCTCCTCTCCCACGGGGCAGGGTCAGTCCCACAGAGTGTTGTCTTTCAGGCCTGCATCTACTCCGAAGCTCCCAGTGTCTGTGTGCCCTTAGGAGACTGCAACACTTGTGGTTATGGCCAAGGCTGAGGCGACTCCCTTGCTGCAGAGTGCCTTCTGTCCGTAGATTCCCAGACATACCACCTGTCCAGGCGAGGCAAATCCCTGACACACTGGCAGGTGGGCAAAGCAAAGAGACCCTGAGCTGTGCTGCAAGTGGCAGCCGGGCACTCCCCTGGGCTGAACGCCAGCATTTTCAGAGCCAGTTCCTCAAAGCTGCTCCACTGGCCCAGGCTTCTCTCCACCAAGGGTGGGACCATGATGTCCTTTACAACCTAAGCCCCCTGTTGCTTAACCTCAGGGCATCTGCAACTAGTCCATCTATTCTTGGTCTTCACGATGCCTAGTGGCTGTCTTTTACCCAGTCAGCTCTGAAGCAGAGTTACTCAGTGACTTCTGATTCCCGGCATAGCTTTGTCTTAAGCAATAAACCCCTCTCACAAAGGCTTGGTTCTCAGTCCCAAGTACAGCAGGCAGGCAGAGCTTGCTTTCTTCTCCAACTCCAACTGTGTTTGCAGCTTAGATTCTGGGTGCTTCTGCTATTTCTCCTGGGGGCTGCCCATGACCCCTCCGGACTGACTTGGAGTGTGTGGGGACAGGACACCTTGCCCCTCCAAACCGCTAGCATTCCAGACTGCTTTCTTTTCTCTAGGCTGTCTTCAGTTTGTCTGTAGTTTCTAGTTTTCTTAGAACTCTATTTCTTTTTTTCCTCACTAAGTTGTAATTTTCCAGGTTTTTCAATTTCAGGGCCCAGGGAGGCTACATTTTGCAGCAAATTTTGAAACTAATATATTTAGATGTAATATCAATCAAGTTTGTGATAGGAAAAAAAAAACAAAACTGGGAATAAGAATCCAAACTTGCAGGTCCTATGGCCGGGGAGACAGCTCAGTGGCACAAGTGTTTGTCTGGCAAGCACAAGGTCCCCAGTTTGATCTCCTGTACCCCAAAAAGAAAAAAAAAATTTGTAGGTCTCTACTCTTAAACATTCTGTATTCATATTTTTAAAAAATATTTGTTACAGGGTCTCACTATGCAGCTTGGATTTGCAGTGGTTCTCCTGTCTCAGCCTCTTCAAGTGCTAGGATTACAGGCATGTGCCACCACGCCCCAGTTCAGGAGCCGGTGGGGTATGCAATACTGGTGATAGACCTGGGTCCTTGCGCTTGCCAGGCAGGCGCTTGCTTAGACAGCTGAGCTATCGCCCCAGCTCCTGTATTCATATTGTAGCCATTTCTTCAAACAAAGCCAATTCTCAGTGATTTGTTAACACAAGATTCTATAAATTGGAGTACAGCAGTATCTCTTTGAGGGACTGGCTTTCTAACAGGTTAGAGAAGAGATTGTTTGGAAATATGGACAACAGGTCAAAATCTTTTTTTTTTTTTTTTTTTTCTTGGCAGAACCGGGGATTGAACTCAGGCCCTTGTACTTACCAGGGAAGCGCTTATTCCACCGAGCCATCTCCCCAGCCCCAACAGGTCAAAATCTAACAGGTATGAGCAGGAGAAGACTGCTAGAGGATTTGGTTGCATGGTATGCCATTCCAAGCCCCTTCTGCTTAAACACTTTGCCAGGCAGAGAGTTGGGAAGGCTGCCAGTAGGCCACAGCAAAGGGGAAATCTTCACCTGTGGTGTTCACTTAGCCAACATTAAATTACCTGTGCACTGATACCCTTTCATTAGCAAAAGTAATATAGATTTGGTTATATAACTTCAGGAAGTTGAATACAAAGCCAAGATAAAATGCACACGAAAGAATCCAAGCAGTCAGTAGTGGATTATGTAATGAAATAATGCCCTTACAATGCTTCTGGCCTATAATGTAGTCATAATAAAGGGGAAAAGTAAAAGCGTCACACAACTGTATCAGAGACTAACCAGTACAATGATATAGAGAAGTTTATTGAATTCACAGAAATAATTTCTCAGATCTACACTGTACAGAGAAAAGCTAGAGTGACCTATAGAAGAAATCCTTACGTTGATAGGAAAATATCTAGTCCCCATAAAACAACTATAATCATTTGCTAGGGCAAAATTCCAAATCCACATAGGCCATGCAGACATTTAAAAATGCCATTTGTATTCACCTCTTTTAAAAACTGGGTGTACCAATGAACATTTTTCATTTTTTTATACACCTTAAAATCTCATCCTTCCCACCTCAACCCACCCCTTTACAAACAGGATTGAGGTTAAGGGGTAAGAAAAAGAATCTTGATTGCTTCTTATGTTCATTTTCCCTTGGAATAAACCAATACTTCATTTTAAGAAATTTACAGTCATAAGGAGAACAAAAGACTTAAAAGTTTTTCTTCAAATTAAATAACAGCTATTCAAATGTCAGTAACCTAACAGACCCCATATAGATACAAGGTAGTTTCACTTTAATAGAGAAATGTTAAAAAGAAGCTTCCTGAGAGGCATTCATTTTAAAAATAAATTATAGCTTAAGTTATTACTGAATAGATTCCTGGCAAAGGCAGGAAGCATGAACATTTCCCCTCTTTTAGCAAACCTTGTAAGGCTAGTGTACAGTTAAATAATGGACTGCTAATCATCTCCCATACTGATCAACCATATTTATTTAATGTACTCTTAACATTAGACATTTTAGTGGGAACAAAAAAAAAAAATCAGTAAACAACCATTTCACTGCTCTCCTTTTACTGCAGCCATATAAATCAGCTGTAACAAGTGATACAGATTTCATCTATAATTTGTGAAACATTCCAAGAGCTGACACAGTCCAGAACTATAGAAAACAGCCGGCCACAGATAAACTAGAAGGTAAATGTAAATACAACTGTGGTTCTCATTTTCTTTTATATAGTCCCAGATAATCCCAAGTAACTTTATAAATATCTTATGGGAAAAAATTAAGAATCTACCAAAAGTTTTTAAAATATTATGCAGAAATCTCAAATTTCCTTCAATCAGGCCAGAAATCACCACAAAATTAGTGATCATCGTTACAAACAGAATGAGTGGAATGTTTAAGTTGACGACAACCAAAAAAGCCCCAGTAACTTTTTTTAATATAATCCTTTACTCAAACATACTTGAATAGGAATGATGATAGCACAGGAAGCAAAAATAAGTTTGCAAGTGAAGTTTCTAGAAGCCCAATGAAACGATACCCTCCTATGTTGCAGACACCAAAGAAAAACTCTCCTAGTGGGTTAAGATCATCGCTCCAGTCATCTCCGTTCATTTGGTCGTGCAAGGTGTTAGCTATTTTCACTTCCTACATCACAAAGTTAGTCCACAGGAGGAGCTGGCGGATCCTGTCCCTGGCATTAAAAAGAAAAACATGAATGTAACCGCTATTTGCTGCAAGCATATACTAATAAAAATAACAGTAAAATTAAAAAAGAAAAATTCTTTAAGTGACTTCTTTAATCCCAGTGCAACAAATCTAATATATATATTTAGTTCTGAATATATATAAGAACTGAAGAACTAAATAGCAAACTGCCCTACTATCCAACTCAAACCATGTGTTTATTTGGACTTTCTTTATGTTTTTACACAACGGGACACTGGGTTAACACAGACTCTGCAATGTGTCTCACAGGTCCCTGGGGCATGCAGAAAGGGACACTGAGTAACAGTGAGGAAATTTTCTTCCAGGTTAGGAATGAACTTTCTCATGGCTGAAGTGATTGACTGAGTATTCAGGGCCAAGCCAGGGCCTACTGTCTCTCACAGAATTTCCACAGAGGACATATGTGCCTGCAGTTGCCTCTGAAGGCGTTCTACAACCAAGACACAACTTGGTAATGAAACAGGTAGTAAGAAGAGAGAAAACTGGTCTCTAATGATACTATTAAACTTTCTAAACTAAAGCCTGTGATCCCATCACTTGGGAGGCTGAGACAGGAGGACTGAAATGAATTCCAGGCAGCCTGGACTATGCAGACCACGTCACAAAACAAAACAAAACTTCTAAGCACTGAACCTACCCTTGAGGTTTGTTTTTTTTTTAATGTGTAAACTAATAAATTCACTTATATAAATCACTTTAAATTGGTTTTTGTTGTTTGCAATAGAAAGTATGTGAACTGAAAATATTGGATCTACAGGATCTTTAAGAAGATTTATTTACACTGACATATTCTGTTAGGGCTCAGTTAAGGATGAGCAATATTTCTACTTGAAATTAGACTCAGTGTTTTTCTTGCTTAGTTTGAGGGTAAAGGGAACACTACTCTATAACCTCTGCCTGCACTGAACCTTAGCCTGTGGGTGTGTCACTTTTAATTACTTGTATGTCTGGTTATTAAGTTGGAATTCCTAAACTCCATTGAGGAAGTTGTTCTTTGACATGAAAGTGATAAAGCTGTATACAGTGTAAGAAGAAAGGGTAAGACATACTTTATCAATATGCAATCTGTTTTATGAATACACTTTTCTTTCAAGGAAAACCGAAAATAAATTTAAGCTTTTTCTATGTGCTCATAATGCTGCCTTTCACAATTGAAGTCACCATACAATATTATCTAAACTTTTTTTTTTTCTTCTTTGAGCCAGGGTCTTGCTATATAGTTCAGGGTGGCCTTGAACTCACTATAGAGCCTGGGCTGGCCTCTACCTGGTGGTGAACTTGTCTTAGCCGCCCAAATGCTGGGATTACACATGTGTGCCACTATACCTGGCCAGTGTACCTTGCTTACATGGTACTGTAATTTCTGCTGATTGTACTATACAGTAGAATACTGCAGTTTTATGTTCTGTTGTACATCACAGTAATGCATGTAAGAGTTACGGTAAATAAAGGCAAAGTCATCAAGTTGGAGTTTTCTCTAATCATTTTTTTGTTCTGAATACTGTACATACTATATACAATTCCTCATTTATTGACCAACTCACTGAACAACCTAGGTACAGAAATGGAGCTATATCATTAAATGAAGAACTTCTGTATATCAAATTTAAAAACTTCTGTATAGCAAAGGAAACAACCAATGATAAGAGAACCTGAGAAAAGGAAAAATATTTTGCAGCCATTCCTCAGAGGGTTCATACTAAGAATATATAAAGAACGAAAAAAAAAGTAGATCCTTCAAAAAAATGGGTAACTAGCCAGTGAGATAGCTCAGTGGACTAAGTGCCTGCTTTGGCAAGCACAGGTACCAGAGTTCTATCCACAGTCCTGCATACCATGCTGGCACGGCCCCAGGAGTGGGTGGAGCCAGCAACCAAGTCAGGGCGAGGTAGGGCCTATAATCCCAGCACTTGGGATGCTGAAAAGAGGAGGATCACTATGAATCTGATCTGTGTCGTGAGACCCTGTACCAAATATGTGAAATGAAACAATAAAAAAATAATGGGTAACTAAAAGACACTGTTCAGAAGAAATAAAAATGACCAATAAATACATGTAAAAGCATTCAATATCTCCAGCTGTTAGAGAACTGCAAATTAAAACAACACTGTGATTCTATCTTCTCTAGAAAGAATAACTATCATCTATAACTCAAAAATAACAGTAAGGCATGGTGGTGTACACCTATAATCTCAACACTAGGGAGGCTGAGGCAGAAGGATTTTTGCAAGTTGGAGACCAGCCTAGGCTATAAAGTGAGCTCAAGGTCAGCCTGAACTGCATATAGCAAGATCCCCTCTTAAAAAAAAAAAAACAATAACAAACCCACAAAACAGTGGCTGGGGAGATAGCTCAGTGGCCTAAGTGCCTGCATGGCAAGCACAAGGACTCAGGTTTTATCTGTGGTACTACATGCTATGCTGGCCCTGGGAGCTCTGTTGAAGCTGGGCATGGTGGCACATGCCTGTAATCCCAGCACTGGGGAGGTTGAGACA